ACTGTTGCAGGTTTTCTTGCCATTGCTATTGTCTCTCTTCTTGTTTCTTTTCTTTTTCCTCCAACCACTGCTGTAATCTCTCTTGTTTATTTTATTGTTCGAGCTGCCACTGTTGCAGGTTTTCTTGCCATTGCTATTGTCTCTCTTCTTGTTTCTTTTCTTTTTCCTCCAACAACTGCTGCCCACCAGTAGCACAGCGGTATGTCTCCGGACTTACAACGCTAGAAACCGGGTTTCGATACCCGTGGTGGGCAGAGCACAGATAGCTTTTGTGTAGCTTTGTGCATAATTAAAAAACAAAACAAACAAACCAACAACTGCTGCAATTTCTCTTCTTGTGTCTTTTCTTTTTCCTCCAACAACTGCTGTAATCTCTCTTCTTGTTTAATTTCTCGTTCTTCTTGTTTCTTTTTTTTTCCTCTAACAACTGTTGTAATTTCTCTTCTCGCTCTCTTGTTTCTTTTCTTTTTCCTCTAACAACTGTTGTAATTTCTCTTCTTGTTTCTTTTCTTGTTTATTTCTCGTTATTCTTGTTTCTTTTCTTTTTTCCTCTAACAACTGTTGTAATTTCTCTTCTCGTTCTTCTTGTTTCTTTTGCTGTTCTTGTATTTCTACTATCAAGTCTGCTTGGCTGTAGTTTGATTTGCCGCTTCTCGTTTCCATTTTTTTTCTCTCCCACTCTCTGACACCAGTTTGTTAAGTCTCCGTTCGCTAGTTAATTTTCCGTAAATTCGTTCGACGAATCTTTAGCGACACAAGTGCTTTCTTAATAAAACTGGTTTATTCTTTCTGAATACAACTCTACGATACACTTAATTTCAACAGTCGCTCTGTAACAACGAACGTGCTTAACTTCAACAATACTCTCTGACTGCAGTTCAATTACTCATTACACTGTTCCCGTCACGTTGTGACCTTCTTATATATATACAAGACTAACACATTCTTAAAGAAACAAGATATTTCTAGAAAACGTGGCGTGACACTAGTCACGTGACCTCGCTGACGCAACAATATGTTAAAGCGGATTTCTGAAATTCACCTCTACCCATGTGACCTTGTTGTTTTTTGCGTCATATTTCTAAGGGACATGACGTTTGTCTCATGAATTTCTTTCCACATATACTTGGGAAACCATACATTCATTGTTTTTGTTCCTTTAGTAGAAATTCTTTCGGGTTAGTTATTAAGGTGTTAATTGTATGTGCAGATAAGAATACAGTTTTTATATCGATGCTCAAATTGTTGAATAGGCTAGTAATTTTATTAGCATTTTCTGGTATAAAAGGAATGAAACAAATTTGCTATTTCTATTAGTGTTGTTGACAGGTGAAAGATTAGAATTAATATAATATTTTCGAAGGTCTTATAATTTGATATAAACCTTATTTATGATGTTGGGGTTGAAACCCTTAGAGAGTACTATATTCTTCCAGTAATTTAATTGAATTAGTAAGTTTTCTTTATAAGTGAAATGTTGTATATCACAATTTACGTCGGTAAAGTGGGATATTTTCTGTGACAGTTGATGATTAGATCTTATGTATGGTTTCATGGGTGACTGAATGGGATTTCCTGTATATACTGGTGGTAACTTCATTATATCCTCTTTTTACATTCACATCTAAAAAGGGGAGACAACTATTGAATTCTACTTCATGTGTGACAATTATGACATTGGGTCTCGAGGTGTTCAATAATTCAATGAAATTATGTAAAGCATCCTTCTCATTCGCCACATACTTAACATATTGTCGACGTATCTTAACTAGATTTCAAGTTTCTTGATGTGTGCGAATTTGTTTCCAAACAGTTCTTCTTCTAGAACGGAAATGTAGAGAGAGGTCACGAAGTAGAGGTGAAAGGAGATAGCCAATAGCTAATCCATTATTTTGTTTGTAAAACTGGCCTTCGTATGTAAAATAAGTGTTTTTGAGGTTGATAAGATGGTCTGTTACAGGATTGTGTTCTAGTTTTTGTTTTAGACGGTGTACTGCTTGTTCTTCAGGTATGGTAAATAGGGATTTTATTTCGAAAGATATTAACATATTTTCTTGGTTTAATTTGAAGCTTATGATTTTATTTCCAAAGTCTGGGAAGTTTTTGAGAGTACAGGGTTTTGTCTTCAAGAAGGTTGGAGGAAGCAATTTTGGATTGGTCAGAAAACTCAGGAAAGTGTGTAAAGCATGCCAGTGCTAGAGGAGGTCTGAGGCATGCCCCCTCCCCAGAAAAAGTTTGAAAAATAGGTGCTCTGAGACTTAATTTTGTGCTAATTTTACTATAATTTATTGAAAGTATAAAATTGTTTGCAAGCACTTCTTTATGTTCACAAAAATAGGTGCTCACTGGCACTTGTACTTACCACAGATATAAACAAGCACAAACATATACACTTGCAGATATAATTTATTATGCATTGTTATACTGATTCGTACATATTACTATACTACTATAAGTTTATGTTTTTACCTAGAAACAATTTTTGAAGCGCAAGTTAAAGTTTAAAAAGCCCTGCAGTTACAGTGACAAAACGTGCGTCGGAGCAGGGCTGCTCCCCTCTGCCGGACCTGCTCCGGCGCATATGATCAAGTAGAGGGTTTAATCTCACAACTAAATATTAACAACGTTTTGTAATGGTAAGCCTATGCAAGATACGGTAGGTCTGTAAGGAATATTATCTTTGTGAATTTTAGGAAAGGCGTAAAAACGGATGGGATAGGGTAAGTTTTGCACACCCACTTTACAATTCCTTCCTACATCACTGTTTTTAATTGTTTGAAAATTTTATTTTGGTTTTATGTTGTTATATTTTAATAGTGTTTTGTTCGACCCTGGTTTTAGCGGCGTGTTGTTTTAGTTCGTTACGAAATAACGCGGATATTGTAGTTTATTTTTTATACATATTTCGTAAACTTAAATTTGCGAAATAATTACGTAATTTCACACAAAATATAAAGCGCTCTCTATAACGTAAAAAATGAAAACAAAGTATAGAAGTATGGCGGCAGTCAGCGTGAAGTGGAACTCGTTATTACAAATCGGAGAATTGAGGCTTGGGGAACCTGTATTAGAAGAGTATGTAAGGAAAATGTACAAGAAATTTCCAATTAAGGTATTTTTATAATTAATTTATTTTAGGTTTATTTATTGCTCACACTTGACATAGTGTAAATACAATGTTACATTTTTATTTTTATTAATATTATGATTTTAACAAGTTTTATTTTTTAATTTTATTTGTCTCACTCTTTCTTGTAAGTTGTACTTTAAAAAATAGATTAACAATATATTAATATTATCATGGCAATTTATTTTTCTGTTATTGTTATTTCATTTGTAACTTAATTAACATTAATGACATGGAGTAATATTGGTTAGAATCCTAGAGTGTAGAAACTTTGCGATGGCATGTACAATTCAATTTCAAAGATAAGAAAAATAAAATTTGGTTCGGAAGTGTTTTATTAAAATATTAAATGCTATGTATTAGTGACATTTATTTATTATTTTAAGGATAAACTATGTGCAGTCTAAGCTAAGAACAAACGGTTCTTGCTGATATTGATAAGTTTTGACATGTGTCCACATGCATACCAAGATTCAAGATCGCTTTTCACTAAAAATCACCCAAAATAGTATTAAATTTAAAATTTAAAAAAACTGTCAGTATCACTATCAGCTCAAAGCATAGTTGAACAAATGTGATTTAGACTAAATGCAATTTATAAAAGCTACCTTCTGATGTTTCATAAGCCCAAAAGTTAATTATTGTGTCTGTATCTACCTTAAGGTTTATTTGCACATTTCTGCTTTAGTCTTTAGGTCAGTGAAAAACACTCATGAAAGTAAATATATTGCCTAATTTATGAACAAGTCATTTTACTGTAGCACTCTGTTAAATAATTGAGTTAACTGAACAAAACTAAATTAAGTTTTCCTACATATAGAATTTAGAAATACCTTGGGATTTCATGGTATAAGTTGGTTATTCATATATATAGCATTTGTGTGGGATTTGATAATTGTTATGCATTCAACTGATTATTGCTTGAATGACAAAAAAATTATACTATAGAAATCTTTTGATAATTTATTATAATTTATCCATTTTTCAAATACATGGGACTGAGGGAGTATCTAAATATTATTAAGAATATTTGTCTTATTTTGCCAGCATTGACTTAGAATTTGTATGCTGGTATTATTCAGGAAAATATTAGGAAAGTTAACATTTAATAGGGAAAAAAATGTAAACATGATTTTAGAAGGGGGTCATATGATAAAAGAAGACCAAAATGAATACACTAAAAGTACATCTTCCATTACTTACTTGTTAACTTTTTTTTTGAGGATGTTGTGTTTTATGTGCATCTTAGATGGAAAAAGTATGGATTGTGTACTTACAGTTTAGAAAAACTTTTAATAAGGTGCCATACAAAAGATTAGCTAAGAAACTCACATCATTGTGGATTTTGGATAGATTAATTATTGGATTATAAGATGGTTGGATGAGAGAAGGCAAAGTTTTGTTATTAATGGAGTAAGTCAAACTGAACTCTTGTTACCAGTGGAGTAGCTCTTGGGTTAATGTTTGGCATTAGCATTTTCTTATTGACATTGATAGAGGAATAATTAGTCAATTAGCAAAGTTTGCTGATGACTAAACATTTGGTTATTGTTGTAAACTATATTTTTAATAATTTAATGTAGATATTTGCTTGAAGGAGATAACATATACTTACTATTTAAGGATAACAAGGGAGCTGTTGTCCATCTAGGCTGATCTATCTACTAAACTATTAAAAAACAATCAAAGCCAGATCTTATTCAAATATTTATCAAGTCTTAAGTTATTTTATTTTAGGATAGTTATCTAAACTGTATGTGATAATAGGTTACATTGAACGTTCTTTTATAAATATAAAAGCAAAGTTTTACTATGTCTTATCAAGCTGCAGTGTACTTGTTTGAAATTCTTTTCATGTTGTACTATAGTCTGAAGTATGTTCTGAAATTTAATTACCCTTTATAACCAGATTACAAGTTAAGGTGGTGTTAGTAGTAAAATTTTGATTAAGTTGAAATATCATTGTATTAAATGCATGCATTACAGGTCTTGAAAATTTGGATTTTTTTCTGGAAGGTCAGGGAAAACAATTTCAGAAAGAAAATGGCCACTCTAGTTAAGTTTTGATCACTATTTAAAAAAAGGAGGTTTAGTTGTTGACAAGAGTTTGGAGGACTGCTACATAGTGATTCCGAGTGTGGAGAGGTATTTTGTTAAATCTCTTGACATGTTTTCACTCGAAAGAAGGGCTTTGGGATCATGATTGAAGTTTATAAGATTGTTAAAAATTTGGAATCTGTAAATCAAAGTTTAAACTTTGGAAGCTTTAAATAGTTCATAATGTAGACTTATTCTTTGAAAACATGTGTTAGATAGGTATAGTTTACATTGTGCATAGTTTTAAAAACTTGTTAATTTTGTTTTATGTTCTTGTTTTGATAGAAAAGGAGTCATCTAAATGGACCAAATTATCTGTTTGTGCTCTTTCATTTTCTTCTTGTATTTGGTGCACTTCCATTATTACGTATTTCAAATAAACTGCATTTTTTTATATAAAAGAACTGCTAGTTCAGAAACACCACTTACCTCTCTACACCACTAAGAGCTATTACCTTGCATACAACTGCCATGGAATTTCCTATGCATGCCACAAACTTTGAATAAACTCCCACCCCAACACAAGTGTACATGTCTTGTGCCAGTCTATGACATAATCATCATAATTCTGTAGCCTTCCACCAATAAAAGGGCAGCACAACTTCCATGGACAATAACCACCATGAACATTAGCACATGATCATAGGTTTGTTCTTTCCTTAGTACTGCCTGTGCTCAAATGTGTTTTTGAGTTTCTAGTCACTTTAATTGAATGCCTTTCTTTATTTATTGCTTCCTTGCTTTGTTCTTGTTGGACTTTTGTTCCATCCACCTGATTGAAACTTTGTTTTCTCTAGCTACCACATTTCTTCTTTGTGCTACTTGAAACAATAAATCTAAAAATTAAAAAATCCCAAGACCTAGATATTCCTCTTTAGGCATTTTTTCCAACTGAGTCAACAGTGATCAGAGGGATCTTATCTGTTCAATAAGCTGATATGTTCAGTCGTTATCCTTTAGCGTACATCATGGAGCAAACACCTGATCTGTGAGAGGTCTCAGATTTCAGTGGTGGGGTACTATAAGTATCGTGGGAATATTAAATTATCATAATTTTAAAGAGCTGTGATAAATCAGGGTGCAACAACATGTTCACTACTAATGTTTTCCAAATATGATGTTACAGATATCATGATCTTGATAATTTTGGATAAGAACACCCATGCTTATTTTTGCCTCTTTGGCTTCTATTTCTTCCTCTATCTATTTTGGCCTTGTTTCTTTGTTTAGGGGATGTCCTCAGTCTGAATGCTTTCCTTTTAGGTGTTTGGTTTCCCTTCTCCTTGACCCAAGCTTTGCCCCTTTTCTCACTACACCAATCTTTTGGGGTATTCCAAATTACTTGGAATCTTAGGCTGGAGTTGCTCCCCAACAATCTTTCTTTAATTCCCTGGTTGCTTGTCTCACTTGACCATGGATATCTCAGTTGGCTGCCCATCTTCGGGGTCCCATGTGGGTACTCCATCTCCTGTTCCTCTTCTTATTACTTTTATTTGCTGTTATCTTTCAACAGGGTAGGCCATTCAGTGCCCACTTACACCCCCATGCACACCTGTAGTCTCTCTTCACTTACAACCCTTGGGTTGTGCAAGCTCTTTCTTAAGGTCTGTCCCTGCTTGTTGTACTTCATTTTCTCTTTATCCTCATCCTCTTTTCTCTCCAACACTCAACATATTCTTGGTTCTCTTACAAGGGTGGGTTCAACCATCTCCCTTGCATCTTCCTACCATGGAGATCTTGGTATCAAAGACTCTTCACTCTCCTTCTGAAAGAAATGTTCTCTCACTTTTGGGAATTCTGGTTTCTCTATACGTGTCCCCTCCAGTGGGCTCTGGGAGATTTGTGACACATATCCTGTGATTCCTTATCTGACCATATACCTCATCATTCATTTTACCTTTCTGACAAGAAGACTTAATCATTCCAACATGTCTTGGTGTATTCCACATAACACCCCTCTACTCTACTTTCATTCTTGGTTGGGGGGCGGGCAGTCTCAGACTTGGTGTATTCCACATAACACCCCTCTACACTACTTTCATTCTTGGTTGGGGGGCGGGCAGTCTCGACACCTCCGCACTCTTCCATCATGGTTGTTTTTCTCACTTTTATTTCCTCACTATATGGTCATTTTGTTCCTGATTTTCGCTTTTTGTCCAATTAAGACTATCTATTGCTATTTTTTCAGACTGCCCCTTTTTTTGTAGATAATGCCATCACCTGTTTCCCCCATAGTGTACCTTCTTCTCTTGCGAGTTATCCCCTTTCACTTTCACTTTATGGGTGCATAAGCTTACCTGACTGGTATATGCTTTGTACAAATCTAGCTGAACACTTCAACATCACTTCTCACCAGATTCAGCATATCATGGCCTCTCATGCCTTCTTTTGATGCTGACCATTAGAAAAGATCTTGCAGACTAGTATTTTGATTCCACCTAATACATTCATCCCCCATTACTTACATCACTGGGCAATTTTATATGCCTCTTGTTTTTCCCTCCTTCCAATTACCACTCTCCAATCTCTTAGTGTGGCAAGTTTTGTCTGTTGATTTTAATTCCAAGCTCTATAAATGATCTTGTGTATTCTCCATATCTCTGGCACACTTCATGACATCATCATGTGTGTACCAGTCTTTTCGTATATATCCACACTCACAAAATAAAAGAGGCTAAACATACATTAATTATGTTGGTGTCATGAAATCCCCCTGAGTAGCTGACATTGTCTTGCAGGGAATGTTTACCCAAAATCTGCATCATGTAGGGAAGTACAGAAAGTGTTAAACCCATTCCCACTTGCTCAATGCTCACTGTTGAAATGGGGTTTTCTTATATGATACTTCCCTCTTCTCACAAGATTAGCTACTCTTGTCCAATGCTGCCCTCTATATGTGAACTTTCTTCTTTACACATGCTACAAGCCTTCTCCTCCCCATATTGGCTCTCAGGCAAATCATCATGTGTCACTTCTCCACCAATAGTAGCATGACATATGTGATGCATGTGACTCCCTTTGTACCTCTCTATTGAACTATCACTTCTTGTTTGGCAATGCTTGTGCTTGAATGTGTTTGTTTGTTTCAAGTTTCACATTCAACTTTAGTATACTCGTGAAGTGGTTTTCATTTAAATTACTTACAAGTTTATTAAGACTGTTTTTTCACTTTAATTTAATTCCAGTTTATTACAGTCTCATTATTATTAATAGTTTCGATTTTGGTTGACTCTTCTTGATATGAATTCCGAAGATTGTGTTACCACTTCAGGGGTCACACCTGCAGTTAGTGCTATGTCACAGGCCTTGGGTATGGAAGACCCAGTGGGAGATTTATTGGCATTTATTTGTGGGGAGATTGAACATTACATGGGTCAACCTCTATCTCTCGATCTTGCCTCACTTCATTCCAAACATGTTGAGCCTGTTCAGGCTGATGAGGGCTTGGATCACCTATTTCCACATCCTGATTTTGTCGTGTCTTCCCATGCCTCTCCTGAGGAGTCAGTTAGGCATACTATGGTCTTTTTGGATTTTGTTTCTCAGGTATGTGGTGTTTTATCCATTATCTGTATTTCCTAAGAACCACACCCTTTCTTACTACATGCCCAATCTTCACATCCCTATTTGGTTTTTCCCCCCTCCCCAGGTATTTGGGTACAGATGGCCAATTTTCCTCACAATTAAGTGACAAGATTAGCATGCCTTGCCCCCACAGGCTTTGGATCTCTTTGCTTTTGCATATCATCATGCAGGCTGTCCTTTTCTAAACCAACAATTATTTGGGGGGGGGGGGCAGTCACCAAATCTCCCATAAGCCTGACCCATGCCCAATTTTCCCACCTTCGCCTTACCATCACAACTCATACAGTATCTCTCTACCATCCTTCTCTTTTCTGAGGTTTTCTTCCAAAATCCTGTGGGGTTTTCTAGTGACATCCTCTCCCTTCTTTCCTCAATGTTCGCTCATTTGTCATCTTGAGCTCTGGCTTTGCATGCGTGGTTTCTTTGTTGTTGAAACATATTCTAGGTCGTGATGCAACCTTAACTCACATCCATTTACCAGTATCTTATCTTTGGGATTTATGTATGGGCCCAATTTTTGCAGCATTATTTGACATGATCCCTGAATCCTTGGAGTCACATGTTGCATCAGTACAACAACAGTCTACTCTTTCCCCTATTGTTGCCCGTTTGTCTCAGTTGGAGCCCAATATGGCACCTCTTACAATTTCTTGTCCTTCTCCTTCCCAACTATTAATTGTTCCTCCTGCTCAGGGTGGCTTGTTTCATCATTTTTTTTGATGCCTTATGTCCTTTTCATCAAAGTTTCTTCAAGTTTTATCAGAAGGATTCGTAATTCTGTTTCTTTCCCAACCTCCCATGTCTCCTATACCCATTCTCTTCTCTCCACCTCAGGATCCAATTATCGGCCACCATATATCGGAGGTGGTTCAGAATCTACTATCTCAGCAGGCCATCAAACCTGTTCTACATTCTTCACTAGGTTTTTTCCCAGGCTTTTTGTTGTTCCCAAGAAATCCAGGGACTGGAGGCATGTGATTGATTTGTCCTGCCTCAATCAAATTGTTTAAATGCCCCATTTTACTATGGAGTAATTTCTCACCCTATGGTGGGCATTTTCTCCAGGCGTATAGATGACGAAGATGAACATCACCAATGGTTATCTACACATCCCTGTCTCAACTTGATCTTGTCTGTATCTTTGGTTCGTCCACCATGAGGTGGTCTACCATTTTTGCACTTACCATTAGGGGTGGACCCTTATGTTTTCTGTCAAATGCTTGGAGTATTTGCTCACCATCTTCATGCTCTGGGTCTGCGATTCCACCATTATATGGATCACTGGATTCTTCTGGCTCAATCCAAACTAGAGTCAGGCAGCCATACTCGTCAGCTTCTTTGTGTGGCTGCTTGGGTGGGCTGTTAATGACTTTGGAGAAGCACTTTCTCTGTCTTACCCAATATCTTGTCCATTTAGTTGCCTTTTCAACACTCATCTCAGTTGGACCCAACCTTCTCCTCTACGACTTCATTCCATGGGTTTGTTATTTTGCCACACCCTTTGGGGATGTGGTTTTCATTGATGTCATTGGCTCCCCTTGGTCGGGCACACTGGGCTCTTCACAATAAATGGAACCTTGTTCAGGATCCCTTGGCAGCTCCCATTACCTTTCCTCATACCCTGTTGGACAGTCTGCTTTGGTGATTGGGCAAGGCCCATATGTTGGCAGGCATCCTGCTTCCTTCTCCTCATCCAGATTTACATCTGTTCACGGATGCATCCCTTCAGGGCTGGGGTGCATGGGTCAATCACCAAGATGCTTTGGGTAGTTGGTCTGTTGATGAGAAGTCTTTGTATATTAACATCCTCAAGCTTCTTGCAGTCTGTCCGGCTTTGAATAGCTTCCCTCCACTCGCCAGACATTGTCTGGTGATAATTCATTCTGACAATTCTGCATTGATAGCACACACATCAATCACCAAGGGGCATCTGGTCAAGATCTCTGTTTTTGTACATTGGATCTCCTATATTGGGCCCAGAGACACCACATTCATCTCATTGCATGTCATGTTTTGGGTGCTTTCTATCCCGTAGCAGATCATCTTTCCTTCCCAACCTCCTATTCAGTTACTTCATCAGGTGGTCTCTCTCATCCATAACACTCCATGTCAAGTCCTTCTAATCACTCTCTATTGGCTGGCTAAACTATCGTTTCCAAGATTACACCAACTGCAACTTTTCCCTCCTTCCCTTGTCTCCCTCCCTCTTTGTCAGCCTGGTTCTACATCCTGCCATTCATGTCCTTCTTCAATGGAGGTGTATCAGCACAAATGGAAAGTGTGCCACAGTTGGTCTGCTACTTGGGGATTCCCTGCCGACCGACCTGCAGTGGCTCTTGTGGCTGAGTTTTTCACATGGCTTTTCGACTGGGGTCTTTGGTCTCTTCAATCTTGGATTATTGGGCTGCTTTATTTTTCCCGATACCATTGATTTTTACTTTCCCTGTTCCTTCTGGATTTGTCCCCTCCCAGATTGCGTAGTCTTCCAGACTAGGATATTAATGTGGTTCTCCATTCCCTCACTTTACCTCCATTTGAACCTATTTCCTCATGCTCTATGTTTCACTTTCCCCTTAGAAATATTTCATTCTCCTTTATCCGGCATGTGGACTACACCTAATACATCTATCTCCCATCATTTACACCATATTGTGGTTTCTTCTTCGTCAGGTTTTTGTCTGCCATCTGTGGGCCTTTGGTGTGACTTTGACTGGGTAAGTCTATATTCATACATTATTTTCATTTCAGGGGCCCTTGCTTCATTTATTCTTTATAGGGATTTTGCTCTGTGGCAAGCAGTGCCTGACCAAGTATTCTTCAATCAGAAATCCACACTATACAGCCATATTGACTCGTGCTTAACTCCCATGGCTTTGTAATGCTCACCATTGAGATGGGGTTTTTCACAAGATCGCTTGTAGGTGAATAACCTCACGATGTAATTGCTTCATAAACTTGCCTGTTCCAGACCATACCACTCATGAACTGCATGGGTAAAGCAGAAAGGGATAGCTGCCCATCCCTGCCATGCCTTATATTGAATAAATTGGTATGGTCTGCTTTTCAAAATAGTGTTTCATGATCACCCATTGCACTGTCTCAGGTGATGTTGTTCCTATGGACTCTCCAGTGTGTTCTCACCCCTTTCTTCTAGTGGAGTAAGGGAGTCCTTACCACTTTTTAGTTCTAAGCCACTGGGGTGGCCAACAGTGGAGGCACACCTCCTGAATGGGTTCCACACAAAGATGGCTATAACCATTCAGTAACCATGTAAGATATCTTAATTATTTTGAAGTGGTTTCCATGCTACATACAATTTATCATAATGTTTACAAGATATTTTTATTTAATAAACTTCATAGTAGCATTATGATAGGGGTTTTTTACCATCATAACGTGTAGAGGCAAGTCTGTTGTACAATGCAATAACTGTGATTTTGTATTTTGTTTACAAAATCTCAGAAAATAAGTAATTTAAATATAAAACATACATATAAAATGTAAAGCTAGTGATAAATACTTAATTTTTTTCCCCATCCAAAACTTTCAAAAAGCTGCTTAACTAGTAGCAAAGTTATCATTAATAATACATTAACAACTGTACTGATGTTGGCTCAAAGGTTTAAATTTGGCTTTCTTCAGCTACTGTACAATATAAAAATGCATTTAGAATTGACATAATTGCAATTTAGAATGCTAGAAATGATGGGTGTCAAGATAGAGAAATATCTTTATAAATAATCTCCTAAGTACTGTGCATTAACTCATATCCTTTTAATTAATTATTTTTTCTATTGATGTGTTGTATTTTCTTGCAGATTTGCAAACATAATTGAGCAGATTTTAGAAGAAAACACTGGTTTTAGAAATAATCTATTTCTGTCAAGAAATGTACAAACAAAGCAGTGAAAGAGCTTGATAATGTTTGCTCATTGTTTACTCCAACGTAACTTTCTTTAAAACAAAAACTATGAGTTGCCTTTCATATTTTCCCCTTATTAAAAAAATAATGTTAAAAGCATTTGGAACATTCTATTTCATATCATTATTTCTTTTTTGTGGTGACATTTGTGTGTTAACTCAATTGAGCTGAAGTATATCACTTATTACAATAAAGCTTGCATATCCTTACCTGTTGTTCAAATTGTAAAACAGGAAAAGTGTAGTAAGTGTTTTATGTATTTTTCAGTTCACTTCTTGTCATGCTTGTTGTGGGTTTTATGGTCCATGTTTTGGACAACCTTTATGTGCCACATGTCATGCTTTCTTATGCCCTGATGACATTAATCATCCAGGTGGAAATCACTTATTTCAAGAAGTAAGTAAAATTTCACTGTTGTGTCCTAAGTTTGTTTTTAAATTAAAGGCACTTAAATATTGTAGCCCACAGAGTAAAAGAATTGAGTGCACAAAGATCATACATCTTATGAAACGGATACTTAGAGCTAAAGGATTGAAATCTTTATTTTATTAGTTTTGCTTTCAGTTGAAATGTTTGCTTTTAATAAAACATGTTTTCTAACTGTGGTTAAACTGAACTCTGTGGTGCCCAGATGGGTGCATCCAGCCCTGAGGGAAAATTATACCATTGAATTAAAATTATAGATAATAAACTGTTGGTCATTCTTCCACACAGAAAAACCTTCACTACTGAAATTTATTTTACAAAAATGTTTTATTTATTGCATTTTATGCATAAGTTTCAAAAAAGTACAAAATTAAATTTTGGGTTCATTTCAGCAAGTTCTGAATGAAAACATTAGTGTTTGTAAATTTTCCTGAGTATAATCCAGCACTTATAGCCCTCTAGGAGGAAAGTTGAAATAGTTTTGGAACAGAATAGTGCTAATTTGAACCTGTAACTTCCATACATACAAGTATATTTTTATCAATATTAGCCATTCACTGTTTCTCAGCTTTAGTTATTATATGATATAATTGCTTATACCTCAGCTTTGAGAAGAATAGGTACATGATCTAAACACATAATGAAAGCTTTTTTGTTTCTGTTCTTTCCAACTGTTTAAACTAGGGGTTCCCAAACTTTGCTAACCAGCAGACCCCCTCTAACTTCTTTACTGTATTGGTAGACCACCTCCCATTAAAAATAGTTTTTATCATGTGTAACTGATGTATCATATGCATATTTTACTACCTTTACAGATTGATTCTAGTTTTAAGAAAAGAACAATGAAAAAAGATTTAAATATGGAAAATTAAAAAAAGAAAAATGACTTACTTTAATGTGAAGGATGATACTGCTTTGCTGAAACAATCTTGCTAATTTATGGGTCAACATCTGATAATTTCAAACGAAGAACTGGCTCCGCATTTATGTTATTGCTATACTTCGATTTTATATAAGCAGGTTGAGAGAAACCTCGCATTTTATTTTATTTGTTACTCTTTCAGTAAATGATAATTTCATAAATTTGATGCGGGCCCCCTTAAATATTAAAAGAATATATACACATTTTAATTTTTCATCAAATTATCTTGAAAATGTTATTAAGTTTGGGAACCTCTGGCTTAAGCCATTCATTAGTTTCTCATAAATATTGGAACAGTGTAAAAGCTTAGCTTGGTGATGTGTTGCTAGTAGAAAAGATGTTTTTGTAAATAACTTTCAACAACATTACAGTTCTGAGTTTTTTAAAAGTTCAGTAAAAGCTTGTTCTATCATTTTACACTTCATTTGAAGTATGTTGTTGCAGAGTAATAGGCTTAGATAATATTTCTCTCAACCATTTTAAGTTACTTTTGTCAACAAAGTCACTGTTTATTAGGCCATTTTCACAGTAGGCTAGTGGTTCCCAAACTATGGGGTGACAAGAAAATGATTACAATTAGGCCTACTTTTTTTTTCCAGATTAACCCTATAATTACAGTTACCCCTGTACTGCTCATATCATGAGATTTTACTTTGTTACACTCAAAATTTGATTAAGCAATCTTACTATTAATGTATACCAATGAACTTAGCATTAAAATTTAGACTATAGTTCAAAGTTTGATATTATCTAAGTATTAATTCCTTTATTTCAAAAGAAACCTTAAAGAAAAGTTCTTAAACTTCAGTTCTACACACAACTTCAGTTAGTTACTTCAAAAAGTTTTAATGTTTGGACTTTGTAAGTCGAGAAAGACTTGACTAAACTAAACCTTCCATATGTAGAAAGAGTCTAGGTTAATTGCTCTGTTTTCTCCCAATGTCCCTTAAGAAACTTGAAATAAATTTCTTGGAACTCATGACGGATGCCAACCTCACTCTCTACACACACAATTGTGATTTCTTAGTCAATTATCCTTAGTTGAGCTAGGTGTTTGTAACCAATAGAAAGCTGAATTTTGAAATACTATTTCCCAACAGTTATTTTAAAATTGGCATGAAGAATTCCATAGAGAACTTGTGAAACACTTGGCATTGTTGCTGCTTGTGACCTTGCTAGCACTTTAGCATTATTTCTCACCTATAAATATGTTAGTTAGATAGACAATCAAATTTTATTTAGGTTTTAGTTTTATATTTTAGTTAATTATATGTTAGTTATGTTTAAAATATATAACAAACTGCTTCAGTTTAGGAGGCTTAGTGTAGTAGGCAAATGTCCCAACGTTCTCACGACACCTAAAGTGTCGCTGCCGAGGACATACTAAGAACACGTGTTGTCATGCGTCATGATAAGTAATAATGCTGAAATATAGGAAAATAAAATAAAACACCAAAAATAAACTTTTTGGGAAAAATTTAAAACTTACAATTAAGAATACAAACTAAGAACATTTTCAAGATAATTTGATGAAAAATTAAAATGTGTATATATTCTTTCTGTTTTCAATTTTAAACATTTCACTGCACAATACATTGATGATAATACTCAAAATATTCAGAGTCTGAATGCAAATAACTATAATACAAAAATAACAAATATTTAATTAAAATACTTAGTTATAACAATCTCATTCTTTGTGTACAAAATACTTGTAATCTTTAACAAAATCTTACCAATTTTTATGAAGATATGTTAAGAAAGCTGTTGAGATGTTGAGCTCTGCACTGTCTAATCTCAACATCACTTGTTTCAGAATCCACCAATTCTAAGCCACAACCTGCTAAAACTTTTAAGGAAATGATCTAGGTCATCATTCAAAATCACTTGAAACACGGGTTGGTTAATATGTTTGTGAACCAGTGATGTGGATGGGTGTTTAATAATCAGTTTTGTGCTGCTGCTCTTTTAGTTAAATATTGTTTATGTCCATAGGGGGAACCCAATCATCTTTCCATTGTAGCCAGACAAATGTGGTGTCCTCAAGCAAAGTCTAGAACATTACACTCAAGTGCATAAAGTTAGAAAATACATTAGCCTCACCTGCTAGACACTGTTTTTAGACATCAATAGTGTGCCATGCTATCCTGGAAGACACCTGACTGCCCTAGTATCTTCCATATTGCAGTGAGACAAGATTTTGTACCAGGCAGTGTTGTTACTGTTCCTGACATACTTTGTCTACTCACCGTTTGTATTACGTATCTCGTTCTAGCCATTGGTGACTCAAAGTAATGCTTCCTTGGACATATGTGACTCAGACTTGTACTTGACTAGACTATGAATGTCTAGAATATTCATGAGACCACCTCATTTATTATTGCAATGTCCTAACTGATCATTACCATCACAACCCATCTTTACCATCATCTGTTCAAATAAGTTGAAGTGCATCACCTCTAAGTTCTGTGTTGTCTAAGAAAGTACCCTTTATGATGATAGCTTATAAGCTTTACAGTGAGAATGAAAGTTTCTAATATTAATATCCCATATTTCTAGATTACCTACATTAATAATTATTGCTGTAATTAGAGTTGAATGTTTAAATCACTTAATCAATATAATCAATTATCCATAAGCATTGATTTCACCTATTAGTGTCACACAAAATATTCAACTAATCAAATTAATGTTTCAGATTATTACTATGTTTGATTATTCTAACTATCCAAGTCTCGTATGAGAATAATTGATTAGTTAAATGTAAATGATTAATGAGCCTAATGATTTATTGATTAGCAAATTCCACTAATCACCAGTTACACTTATTTTACATAGGGAAACTAAACCTTTCACATCCTGTTTATGAATACTTCAGGTAACAAAGTGCAAGATGGTAGTATAATAGTTTACCTGAAGTATACATGAATAATGATATATTGTTTTCTAGTTATAGCACTTTCTCAGCTGCAACATTCCATCATTGCTGAGCAGAAATGCTAGCTAGACCACTTAACTGCTCCATGCAAGGTTCTTGATGTACTATATACATATAAGCTCTTACTAGTGCCCCAAATATTGCCTGCAGAGTTATAATTCTAGCAAGCTGAGCTCCTTAACTTGGAATCTTGGAACAGAATTTAAACTTAATCATTTTTATGAACAGAAGTCAGAAAATATTAACCTGTGATCTGCCCAAGAAACACCATCAAGGTTTTGGACTCTGTGATTACTACCAAGCTTTGGTGTTACCATGACATGGTATCAAGCTTCTTGAAACTCTAGACCTCTTTGAATAAACTCCTGCTAAACCAGCAACAAAGCTAACTGACTTCAAGATTTACAAATTTGTCAGAAAAGGACACAAGCTGTCTTTTGGGCATTTTAGTCTGTGCACAGAATATCTCATAAGTGAAGAGAATGTATAATTTCAAATAGTAAAAGCAATATTTAGATTAACCCTCTCTAAACAGACAGGTCAAAAAGTGTATGTCATGATGTTTTAGAGTCACTTTCCAAACTTAATTAAACATCTTTATTATAATTGTATTTTAATAAAATTGACATCCCAATGTAGTTTATAATCCTAATTTTAATATTTATATATGTTTTTAATTTCTTAATTCAAAAGCAATATTTAAAATAAATGCCAAATATGCTTTTTTTGCTTCATATGGCATGTCTTTCTATCATATTGCTCCTATTATATTTTATTATGCCTACCATACAATGTGTATAGTGGTTAATGGACTAAAAACTCAAACTTCAGACAATTACAAGCTAGAATATAAAATAAAAACCTTGCATTTGTTTGATCTGCTGAGATATCAATATATTTTGCCTTTCCTGTAACTACATTCTTTTGAAACCTCTTATCTACTCATGCCTACTTCTCTTAAGTACATTTTTATAATCAGTAGAAAGAGCACATTCCAAACTCCATAAATCTGACTGGAAGGGGAACTTGTAATTTCAAAATGTTGAAGTCTACTGAGCAAGTCATTGCTCTGAAAAGAAGTTAATATATTTTTTTAACTCGCATATAACT